AGCTTTTTTTTTCAAAAGACTGAGCGAGCTGAATCGGAATTTTGCAAAAACACAAAAATGAAGAGGTCCATCACCTTTTCTTCTCGGATAGCTTTCTTGTACGAGGGTTGCAGTGACCGAAGGTATGCGTAATTGTTTGGAATTTCTCCTGTGAACTTGCAGACAATTGACTTCATTCGAGGCCCAGTCAGAAACACGCATGAATGAGTAGATTATTGGCGTTCAGGTTTCTATTTATATTCCCGGGAGGTCGGCTAACATGATGTCCTTTTGAAGGGTGGAGCGAGTGCAGGGTGCTGCATATGCAGCTGTCAAGCTTGGCTAACCAAATCACTATTATCCCAAAAAATTGTGGTGTTTGTACAGCAGTCAGCAATGGCGGTGGAATAGCTAAAGAGATTCTTCCCAGACACCTAAAAAAGAGTGGCGAGGGCTGCAAAAAATTGGATTGCAGCCCACGTTTCTTCCAGAGCTGGGAATTTCCCAAAAAAAATCGTTACGCGCCTGTGAAAGCTGACCTCTTTTGATAGTACAAGTCTAAGAGTCCAGCTAAAAAAAAGGAATCCTAGTGAAGAGCTTCCTATTCATGTTCCGCCGTAATTCCGTTGAGAAGGAGTCTAAGAAGCATCTCGAAGCCTCAGTTTTGGCTTGACGCAAGTGCAGTGAGTAGGAAGAATGACCAAATTTGTTGGACAGTAAGTAACCCGTGGCGATCTCGAGCTCTTCGCATACCTATAGTCGTGATAACGCTGAAGGTAAAGATCAGGGCGTTGCCGAACGACCACTTCTCGACTTCTCTTTCGATCTCTTCTTCAATCGTCGATTCTGAAAATGGCCTTGGTAAGAAGTGTCAAAGGTAAAGTTTCAGGCAAATTGTTCACCTCGCTGTTTGTTTGCTCCTGCTCTACCCGAGCCCACAGATGGCAGTAGATTTTTTGGTCCCGTCTCGGGAAACTCGACATTTCTATAGCATTCGTCTATTTCAGCAATACTAATGTGCTCTATTAAGTAGGCATCGCAATCAGTTCTAGTTCTAACTCCTTCGACAGCTCTCTCCACACACTTGCGTACCTTAAAGATACTGAAGACATCTTTTTGTCGTCTGGAAGGGATAATCGCGCTATCCATACCTTTGGATCCATCGCAGATATCTCTGAACCAAGATAGACCTTAGTGAATGTATCGAATTCCTCCAACGAATTCTCTTCTATTTCACCTCGAATGCCTCTGAAATCAAGAATGCTTCGACTTTGAAGGAGGACCTTACGGAGGACTGGGATAATCACATTTTTTATTTATTTTAAAGTCCTGTTTTACTCATGTTTTGCTCTAATTAAAGTTTCATCTGCTGATAAATAAATAAGCAAATTAATGAGTCAACAAATGGACAATAAAACGAAAAAGTGGCAGGAAATTCATATTCCAGCAGTTTTTTTGTACTGCGATTCTGAGTTAAATTCCAGAGCGGCTTATGACTGAAATTAATTAGAGCAGATGAATAAATAAATAAATAAATAAGTTGAAGATGTTGATGGGGGAATGTCACTTGAGGAAGGTGAAGTAATTCGAAGTATCACATAGTCACACCCATGACCAAAGAATCGAATCCCGTCTCGGTTATCCCCAAGTCAACAAAGCTTTCCATCCCTTTGAGGTGGTTTAATTGCTATGAGACTGGTCCGAAAAGCTTAGTGGGCTGACTTGCATACGGCCACTCAGCCAACACTTGTCATGCATTGTATAGGACACGTACACATTCAAACGCCTCAACAATTCTGAATGGAAGTCGTATGCGTAGGGCAACTCAGAACGGATTATGTCCATAATACTTGTAGGCATTACGCTTGTAAGAAAGAAAAGATCATGATGAAATGAAATAGGCCCATCTTGCCTTACTTTTTCATTTTGCTATAAAATCAAAGTAAAAATCGAAAAATGTTTCCAATCTTGTCAGAGATTGCCAGATGTCATTCAACTGCCAGCATGCCATGACAATGGCACTCATTGGAGTGTATGACTGTCATAATAGAGTTCATTAACACCATATGGTGCAGAACAATGTCATAGCTTGTGTAACTATCCATTATATGATAGTTTACTCGGCGTAAGATACATACAGTAGCGCTCAAAAGTCTTCGGTAAAACGCTTTGACGCTTTTTCGTTCACAACTTTTTTCTTAGTAGATCAAATCGCGCAAAATTTGGATATGTTTAA